TTAAAGGATCCTAATATTATAAGTTTTTACAATGCAATCGTGGATGATGTGAAATTCGTGTCTATTGATAAGGAAATTAAGCTTAACTTGTTAGAAAAAATGATAGAACTTTATTTTAGAGTTCGTACATTTTCATTGGCTAAAAATATAACTTCAAAAAACAATGATCAAAGTTTTAAAGTAAAATCTTTAAGAAAAAGTATAAAACGTAAATCAAACAATAAATAAAGACTTAAACTTTAAACTTAATACAAATAATTGATATATTTTGTTATATGCTATGTTTATATTTAGATTATATTTATAGGTTTTTTTTTCGTTTTGGTAACTTTTCATTATCAACAACACTCCAAGATACTTCACGTTTTTGACCATGACCACCTTTAGTATTTCCAGTAACCGGCGCAATTGATCTTTGCAATCGCAAGGTATTTGACTGGTAACCAAATTGATATAGTGTAGGGTTGTCATTTCTTCGACCTAAACTCCGTTGTCTACCAAAGTATTCCTCCAAAACGTCTTGATTGAATTTTTCAGTCAAAACAAACGGCATACCACTTTTTAATAAAAATTTTACCAATTCGATAACAGACATTACAGTTATTTGAAGTCCTTCGTATGTTTGCCAAGAGATAAACATTCTTCATAAAAGTTACCAGGACGATTAATAATACACTCTTTCCATTTTTCTAGATAGCATAAAAATGTATTCTGTAGCCATGTCAAACGCTCGTCATTAACATCCGTGTATGGTAATAAAAATGGTTTGCGTTTCATTATCCCTTCACTGCTGTTTCATTTAAGCAATCAAAAAAACTATCTAACATTTCACAAAATTTTGCAGTTCCATTTGTATCATCAGGGTAATAATTTTTTAAAATGTTACTGACACTACTACTTAAAACCTGGGCTGCAAGTCTTACATTCATAACAGAATAAGCACTAAGTTTAATATGATCCTGTGTTAACTTTGGTATAATTTTTAACCCATTTTTCATTTCGTCATTGACTATTCTTGTGATATGGTACCAAATCAATTGTTGTCCATCATTCCAAAGACTTCGTGTACCCCTTCCATCCCCTGAAATAAAAAAAGATTGAATCTTAATATAACACAAAATTATTGCCTACAATTCAACTCTCAATCTAGGGAGGTTTAAAACATTGCATAGCCCTTCTAATCTTAGCTAAATAAGTAAGCATTTCATACTTTTTAATATAAAAATCTGTTATTTTATTATTACTTTCCAGCAAGAAATAACCATAACCTGATAATTTTCTACTGGAAAGGCCTGTAAACCAATACACTTTAAATATAATTTACATACCTGAGTGATATAAACAGTTCCTTGCTGTTTTGATGAGATGGGGAGCATCAGCAAAAAACCATAAGTACCGTTCAGGGGCATAAATATTAAGGCATCGATGAACAACATTACAATCTAATTTGTCATCAAACATACTATGCATTCGATAGAACTTTCTGTTGGGTGCTGCACCATCCGATACTGCAGCTATAACATATAATTTACATGTCAGTTCTAAAACTCCAACTGCTTCCCAGAAAGTTGGCATTAGTTGAAACGAGGTAAGACCTTTAGTAGCAAAGTGACATAAAGCAAACTTTAAGTCAGAAGCAATACCTCGAATGAAGTAGACTAGAACATGGATTTAATCCAGCTTTCGGTCGAATGAAGTTCTTATAATCTCTTAGAGTTCTGCGACTTGGTAATGTTAGTACATTTGATGAGCGCAACTCATCATAAGCTGAGGCCGACTTTGAGGCAAGTGAGAGGCAAAACCGTATTATCATAGGGTGATACTTTATTGAGCCAAAATTTTTATTACACATTTTCTTTTGCTGGTCCCAAAATAATTTCATAAAGGGAGTAGCTTTTTCGTAGTTACTACTCATTATTTGATTTAAATCATCAACAAACCCATCATCAATAGTAATACCTTTAGAGTCTATTTGAAAATTTATTTTTTCTAAATCACTTGTTAGCTGGGCACATCTTAAATGTTCTTGTTTTAATGCTAATAGAACGCGAACAGGATTTGTTTTACTAAGTGGAGCTTTTCGAAGAGCAGGTGTGGCTAACTGATGTTGTTTTTTTATTTTAATCATTTTGTTCTTTTTTAGTGTGTGGGTACAAAATGAACAAACAGAATTTATATTATCAGACTCACTAGTATGTAATATAATACATGATTTTGCTCTTTTAAACCTTTCATTTGATACACGCATACCATCTGTACTTGCACTTTCTAAATCAAATTCCATTGGAACAATATGATCAACAAAATCATCATTATTTATATTTCTGATGTTTTCTATAATACCAGAACAAAATCTTAATGTACATATTTTGCATAAAAGTTCGGTAACTGTAGTGTTCAGCATTGATCGTGAGTATAATTTATAGATTAAGTGAGTATCTGGCAAGAGCCACCCAAATACAATAATGGTGAACGCTAAACTGTCATCTACTACAACTTCATACTTAGGTAACAAATACAAAGGCAATAACTTTTTAAATTTGATATTGTTTTCATTACATGTCATCTCCCATCCACTAAGTTTTAACTTTTAGGTTTTTTTCTGTAAATCAATTAAGTTTGAATAATTTATTCGCTTCTGTGGGACAATATCTTTTACAATACTTATGTGTCTTCTAGGTACCTTTTTTTCTTTTTCATGTGATTTTATGGGTAGGTTAACAGTTGGTAAAGCCTCTAAGCGTAATGATTTCCTTCCAGTTTCTGAAATTCAACATATTTCAATAAAGTAAATATAAATTATCACACAAAAATAAGAACAATACTGAGAAAAAAAGAGAATATGTTATCCACAAATTTATATAAAGCCACAAATACTTTAAGCTTTATGAAATTTATTTGTTTATTGTACTTAAACTTATCAGAGTTGCCCAAAATTAAAGCTTTTAAAATTAAATAACACAGAGTGTAAAAGCAAATTTAAACAACTAAATATATAAAAGTATCCTTACTTGTCAATTCAATATCTTCTGCTAAAAAATGATTCTCACATATATAAATATTGCCCTTTGAGAGTCTTTCTTTCAAATCTTTGTCAAAGTCTCTATACTGAGTGATAATAGCTAACAATCTCTGTCTCCATTTTTTATAAAAGTCTCCTGTCCTCATAGGAATTCTGAATAAGGTGATATCTTTGTGCTTAATAGATCTTGAAACTGTACATCCTGGTAGACAACAATTTGAACCTGGCATTTTGGATTTATCTTTTAGACTTTTTTTAAATATAGAATATAAAGAAACATTTTAAATTGAATAAAGTTTTTAAACCATAGACAATAGAAAGGAACCAATATTATTTTAATAATAAAGAAAAATAATAATTTTAATATATTAATTTAAAATAAACATCAAAATCTTTATTAATTCGTAACTTTCATTATAAAAGTTTTGTTTGTTTTGCACTAGATTTGATCACGTGACTTAAAAAAAAGCGAACAATAACATACGACAATAGCTTTTCCAGACCAGGGTTTATTTCTATTGACTATGATAAAATGTTAAATAATGACAAATTAAAAAAAACTTTTTTTGTTTTTTTCAGTTTTATAAACTTTAAAATTTGTGAAGAAAATTTGCGTCAGAATTTATGTCCTTTTATTTATTTTTTTTCGCCAAATTTATTTAAAAAGTTAAAATTATTAATTTCCGCCATTTTTGATATTTATCAACAACCTTACTAAATAAAATAAAAAGAGAAAATCTTATTTTGGAGTTCATACAAGTATTTTACCGTGTTGTTTACATTTTTAGTTTTGTCATACCTCACTGTAAGATGTATTTTTTTCTCTCTCTTCATATTACATCTTCAAAGATTAAGCCGAAAAATTATATATATATATATATATATATATATATATATATATATATATATATATATATTATATATATATATATATATATATATATATATATGTATATATATATATATATATATATATATATATATATATATATATATATATATATATATATATATATATATATATATATATATATATGTATATATATATATATATATATATATATTATATATATATATATATATATATATATATATATATATATATATATATATATATTTAAACAATTTTAAAAATGTATTCTACAAAATAGAGTGCTCAATGTTCTTAAAAGAACAGAGCAATTATAAATTAGTAGAAAATCACTTAACAAAAATCTGATGAGTCTGAGAAATTTCTGATGAGTCTTTATTGATCAAACACAGTGTAAAATAAAAAAATTTTTGTTAAGTGATTTTTTACTAATTTATATATATATATATATATATATATATATATATATATATATATATATATATATATATATATATATATATATATATATATATATATATATATATATATATATATATGTATATATATATATATATATATATATATATATATATATACATATATATATATATATATATATATATATATATATATATATATATATATATATATATATATATATATTATATATATATATATATATATATATATATAAATATATCGTCGAGTCGTTCTTAAAACAATATTTTCGAAAATCATTTGGATAAGTTTAACTAAACATTTTAATAAACTTTTCCAAATATTTAATATAAGTTTATTTGGATAAGATGAATTGAACACAAAGAATAAACCCCAAACCCAAATGTTTATCCGAACTCAAATGTTTTTATTATTATTTTATTTTATTCTTTATATTATTTTATAAACGTTTTTGGATAATAATTTATGAGAATTCTAAGCCAGTACTGCATCACTAGATTATCCACACATCATTATCATATCATTAGATTATCACATCACTAGATTATACGCACAACAAATGAAAAAACTTTATAAAGACGCGGGGAGTTTTGTTGTTTTGTCCCCGAAAGCTTAACCCGAGCGGGCACAGACGTCTGAATGATGCCTCGATGATGTCTTACGGAGGTTACAAGTTCGTATGACGTCCAGTGCCTGCTGGGATAATAAATGATATCCGTAAATAACATTTGTAGCCTTTCAAACAACTTTTTGACGTTTGAAGTTTTTTTGAACAAATTTTCGACGTTTGTAAATTGACGAGTTGAGTAAGACAAAATGCCTTTAAATCCATTTATGTGTACATTTTTATCTAATTTTTTAAAGCGTCTATCCAAAACCCTTAGTCAATGTATACAAGCCTCACTGCACCTACCTCTATATTTAAGTCAAACAATGTATGTACTCTCCGCTGCGCAGTCTATGTATGTACACTATTATATAGTCGATGTACATTACTTAATTTTTTAAAACATAATTAACATATGCTAATATTACCTTTGATTATAACAGTAATAGTTAATAAACATAAAACTATGTAGACTAGGGTGATGACAAATACTTTTTTGAATAAAAAATTTAGTGTTAATAACAAAAAAAAGTTCATTAATTCCTACTACAGGCCAAAAAATAGTTTTTTTCGCTTGTAGTAGGAATAAACGAACCTATCATACACAAAAAAAGTTACACAAAGAAGAGATTTGACAGTCCCCATCTTGAACTCAACAAGCATTAGTAATATCCATTGGACCATGCAAATACTGGGTCACAAAATGTAAAGTATAACTACATACTTATTTTTCAACTTCCTTAAGTTCAAAACAATTGCTTGAACAACTAATTTCCATTCGGCAATTTGCACAAAACTCGAAAATTTGCACAAAATCGAAATAGGTTTTTGATTCATCTACAGAATTGGACTACTATAATACGACTACATTATTGCGTATTGCAAAACTCTAAACGTAAATAATTGTCATACATCGTAATTTAAAAAAAACTTGCAAATGTAATCTAGTGTAAATGTAGAGTAAGCGCATTATAGCATATTCGAACTAGGGTTTCTCAAACGGGATCGTGGGATCCCGGGGATAAAAGTGGCAGCGGGATTTCCCGAGGTATCACTCTTATTTCCTGGAACATAATTTTTTTTTTTAATTTTAAATATGATAACTGTTTGAACTAATTCAACCAAAAATAAGAAAACTATTATTGCATTTAGTTGTGTTTTATATGTTCATACCTTATATTAAAACCTAGCACAACAAGAAATGTTATTGAAACTATCTTAAACTATCTAACTCAAAGAATGTATTGCAATGCAATATTTAAAATTTTTTATTTATTTATTCTATTTAAAATAAGAACCATGCTAAATAAACATACTTTAATTCAGCTTTACCACTCTTTTATTCATTGCCATCTAAACTATGCTAATGCGGCTTGGGGTAGTGTAAGGAAAACTAAATTAGAACCACTTTATCTCCAACAGAAACATGTTGCACGACTTATTAATTTTAAACATCGATTTTATCATGCTAAGCCTCTTTTAAACGAAATCAATATTCTTAATATATATCAACTTAATATTTTTAATGTATTGTGTTTTATGTTTAAACATCTCCAATTTCTTTTCACAATTTATATTCTTTAAAAGTTAAAAATAAATACAATTTGCGTAATGAAAATTTTATTCTTCAACCAGTTTTCAAAACAAATTTTGGTAAATTTTGTATTTCATTTAGAGGAGCATTTTTATGGAACAAAATAGTGTTAAAACTTTTTGAACTCTCTCTTGAATGGAACTTTTTCTTATTTAAAAGAAAATTAAAAGAAATTCTTTTCTCAGTTGAAAACATTCTGATATATTTTTAAGTTTGTTTTGTTTTCTATTAATACTCTTAAGAAATATTTTATTGTAATTTATATATACGAAATCTTTTATCTTAACTTATATATATGTATGTATATGTATATGTGTGTGTGTGTGTGTGTGTGTGTGTATATGTGTATGTATATATGTGTATATGTATGTGTGTATATATATATATATGTATATATGTATATATGGATATATGTATATATATATATATATATATATATATATATATATATATATATATATATATATATATATATATATATATATATATATATATATTATATATATATATATATATATATATATATATATATATATATATGTATGTGTGTATGTATATTTATGTGTGTACGTATATATGTATGTGTATTTGTGCGTATTATATGTATGTGTATATATATATATATTAATGTGTAAGTATATTTATTTACATGTTTGTATTGTTAAATATGTATAAATAATTATATTTGTATTTATGTGTGAATATTTGTCTATGAATTATTAAAGGATTATTTATTATTTAAAAACTGTTTAGGCGGTTCTCGATGATAAGATCTTATGATCTTCTGCGAGTATCCGCGTTCTTGTTGTAACGTATCCGCGTTCTTGTTGTAACAAAATTGACTATACGTATTTTATTCATTTTTATATTGTAAAACTTATTTTGAATAAATAAAAAGAACAAAAAAAAAAAAAAATGCAATGTTTTTTTTTTTTCTTCTTATTATAAAATATGAGTAAAAAATAAAAAAGATTTCTTGCTACGAAAATAATATGCTTAATTTTTAAACTTCTAAATTATTGATTTTTTTATTCGTCAGACGAATTTAAAAAATCGACGTTATTTAAATGTAAATTTACACTTATCAACAAAGTTTTGGAACCTGGGAATGACTCCGATAGCTGGATCACTTCCCGCAGAAAAAATTGTTGTTCTAGTTGAAAACAAACTGTCAGATTTCAGTTTATCAATTAAAAAGCACATCATATCTAGTGTCACTAGCGGAGCATCCGTAATGAAAAAATTGGACGGCTAAGTGGCATTGAACATCAGCTGTTTTATGCCCAAGGACTTCATTTGGCAGTATGTGATGCTCTTTAGAAAAAGTCCGACTCTTCTCAAAAATATTTTGAATTTGAATCGCAGTTTCAAGATTCCGATGAAAATTTGAGTGATTACGGTGAGTTTGATGATGTATTTGACTGTAATGATGATACAGTCAAATACATCATCAAACTCAATGCATCATCAAACTCAATATTAAAAGCAATGACCGATACAGCTCAACAGGCGTTACGTTTATTGATGATTTACAAAATAGCGTAAATATAGCGTTAACAATTCAGAAGGTTTGAATGTTCCGCAAATCATCTCTTAAAAATAAAGTTTTACAAATGTACGAAAAATCTATGTTTCATAAAGAACTTAACCTGATATTAGATGTCAAAACAAGGTGGAATAGTCTTGTTGCAACGCTAGAAAGATTCTTTCAAGTAAAAACATGTATATTAAAAGCAATGACCGATTTAAAAGAAGTTTCGAATATCTCCGAAGATGAATGGTTATGAACAACATTACAATTTCTCTACAACCGATAAAAGTTGGAATAAAAAGACTTGGTAGAAGTAATGCTACTCTACTTGACACAGGTGTAATGATATTCATCTTAAACGATTTGGCGAAGAAAAAAAATTTTTTAGCTAATAAACTGCTTCAATCTGTGCAGCAGAGTATTGAAGAACGCAGAAATGCCAATTTAATTGGACTACTAAAGTTTTTAAACAACCCAATTAGTTATAATAAGGAATCAAGTATCAACTCCAAACTACTCTTACCTTCCAAATATGCATTTAAAGGAACAGCAAAAAAAATTTATACCAGGTTGTACATAGAGGATGCTAGCACTAGTTCATCAAATAATGAAATGGTTGAAGTGAGTCTTGATAATAAAAGCATGGTTTCTGACCCATCAATACCTCAACCTGTTGTTCCAAATTTATTAGGCAAAAGTATTTTGACAAAAATTTGATGCGACTATTTGTAATGTCAAACAAGCAGAAAAAGCAGCTCTAGAAAACAATAGCAATTTAAAAAAGCTCACAAAAGAATTTAAACTTTTTGAAGCCACTGGAAAACGTAGCGAAAGTTTAGAAAGAATATACTCAATATTATTGACCATTAAGCCAACATCAATTGAATCAGAAAGAGCTTTTTCTGCCGCGGGTCTATTTATGGTAAAAATTTGTTTACGATTAAGAGACAAATCACTTGATTGTTTATGTTTTTTAAAACAATATTTTATTTTAAAAAGTAATATAGATTAGCGTGCTAAGATAAATTTGTGTGAAGAAACCACTTCTTAATCCCGGGATAAATAAATAGTTACACACTTGGAATCCCGGGATGTTAACTTTACGGGAAATGAGAAACCCTAATTTGAACAATAAATAGAAACTGCCTATACAAGGTAAATCAACTGATGAACGAATGAAACTACTGATACAAGGTAATAAAATCAATTTAACCTGATTTGGCTTATTATTAAAAGTCTTACTTTTTTTAAAAAATAAAACAGTAGAAAATCGCAGGTTTTTTCCCTCTCTTAGATCTGACGTTTTTCAAAACTTATGAAAACCTATAAAACTTAAAAACCTAAGAACAAAAGGTTTTTAAGGAATATAAAATAAAAACACTTTTGAGGAAACAGTTGTTGTTTGCATAAATATTAAGGTACTAATTGATAAATATTCAGAAATATTGGGAAAGGGGTGAAAAGTCTCAACAACTCGACAATCATTGAATTAAATAGTCAATTTAAAATATAGTAATAGTAAAAAATATTAAATAATCGAAATAAAATTGAAAAACGACAAAATAAATGTTTAATGCATGTATATTTTTTATTTAAATTAAAAAATCCCAAATCAATCAGGAATAAATTTTGTATTATTATTTTAACTCGAACTAAAAACTTCGATTACAAGTACATTGAAATAATTCATCTAAATTTGAAATATACTATAACTTTTATACCAAAAAAAGCAGATAAGCGAAAATTACAAATAAGTATTTGAAAAATCCCTTTCTTAAAACTTCGTGTTTTAAAATATACAGATAAATAATATAAGAAGATTTCTTTATGTACAGTATATACAAACAAACACAAAAATATACTCGACAAAATAATTTATTTTAATTCCAAAAACTTGAAACGTATTCGATAAAAAGCGGGAAAATCGTTTGGTTGCATTAGTTGCACTTTTCTGCGTTAGCAATAGAAGAGGGGCGTAACTCCTTCACATATTGTGATTTAGGTCGTCAAAATAAGGATGATTCATAGCGTTTTTAGCAGAAATGCGAGAAGCGGGAGAATATAAGAGCATTTTCTAAATAAAAAAAAAAACTTGCTTAAATTCTAAGTTATCATTTTAAACAGTCAATTATAAATTTAATTTCCAACCAATTTTTTATAATAAAATGCCCCTTGGACTTAAATATTATATAAAAGATATAAACAATCTTTTAAAGAATAATTATATAAAAAAAAAAGCTTAACAGTAAAAAAAAATAAAAAATAAATAAAAACTCTGATTTGCAAGTAGTTCACTTATTATTTAAATTGTATACTAAAAAATATATATTATTATTACAATATTTTTTTCGCCTACGTTAATGCAACTATGATTGACTTATGATATTTCTATATAATAAGTAAAATTCCCGGAAAATCAGGAATTTCATTTTGAAATAATTTGTAGCTATATCGTTCGCTACGAAACTACGACAGCTATAACTAATATCACTATGATAAAACTTCAATCGATTTGTTTGAAAATAGGACGAACAAAACATAAGGTTTTAGTTAAAAAAGAAACGAGTAATCAAGGCAAGAAATTGGGTAATAATAACATAAAAATGTCGCTCAATAACAAATGACAATGAATGGGATCAGGTTTAAAGACATTGACTAGCAAATTCAGCAAATCTTGTACTGAATTAATAGTCTTGCGTGTTTTACGAAAATATTCTTTGCTAATACGCCAATATTTGTTGATAGGCCGGAACTGTAGGCAATCTGGTAGATTGAGATTTTTTGGTACAAAATTAACCTTTCTTAATTTATACCACTCTAAAGCTTTCTATGCATAGTGGTACGAAGCTTAGTCAGGCCAAAACAAATAAGACCTAATGTGCGGTCTAATGAGAGGCTAAGGTTGCTTTTGAAGACACTTTTGAATATAAATTTCAAATATCAAAGTTGATGATCTTCAAAAGCTCTACTTTTTTTTCCGCAACTATGAATTGGTCGTCATAAAAGCAATTTCTTGTCATATTTGTCCACAAGTTTATTTATACTTGTTGCTTATTTGTCAATAAGCCCATATGTATTGTGTAACTAAAGTGTGGGAGAAATATTTAGATAAAGGGAGTGCTGTTGAATCTTTACTTATAGATCTGTGACTTACCTACTAATGATTAGTATAATGCAAAGCTAAAATGGTTGTAAATCTTACGGTTGAAAATCTTCAATTAAATATAAACTTTAATTTCTATTAGTTTTAATAGTTGTGATTAGGAGTGTGGAGTCATAAAAAAAAAGTACCAACTCCGACTCAAATCGTTGAAATTTCCAGAGTACGAATCTAACTCCGAAGCAAAATTTCTGAAAAATTCTTTAAGTTCTTTAAAAAATATTACGGGATAATTAAATATTTTTATTTTTTGCCAAATATATGAAAAATATTTTTAAGGTAGGGGAGTAGTGGTAGAGCGCTTGCCTCATAAGCCAGAAGTTCCAAGTTCCGATCCACACCACATCCTTAACCTCCTAATAATTAGTATATTGCAAAGCTAAAATGGTTTATTTAAACTTAAATACTTTTAATTTAAAATACATTAGTTTCTATTAGTTTAAATAGCTGTGATTTTGATTTATTAGAAATTTAAACTTTCTCTAGTTAAACTTCTTGGGATTCAAAATTTAAAACTTGATTACGAAATTAAAAGTTTAGAAAATCAAAAAGTTTTATGTATGGCAAACAAGCTACTCTCTTATTCTTTATTTATTGCTTTTTGTCAAATTTTTCATACTGTCCCTTGATATGGGTGTAAATGATCAAGTATGATAATAACACCATTAATATAATTTTTAAAAAAGAACCTTATATTTTCTACAAGAGATTTGATCTCCACAATCTGCGATATTTAATAACTGAATTTTTTAAATCTATAAATGGTTTAAACACAGAGTTTATCAAATCTTTTTTACTAAAAACCCTCATGTTTAGGCTTGGCTGTAGTAAAAAAATAATTAACTATTGTTTCTGAAAAAAAATACATAAAAAATAATTTATATTGACCATCTAGCAATGTAAGCACACAGGCTGATCAAAAATTTTTAAACTAAATTTGTATAAAAATTAATAAAGTTCATACTTCTAACAAATCAATTCCATTTTCATCAAGCATAGGAAGAAATGTTTGAAAAGGTTGCGGACGCCATTTTGGAAAATCTGATTTAAACTCCTTTAAATCTGTAACCCCTGGCCAAACTTTCTCATTTGGGGTTCCTAATACTCTAAACAACAAAATGTTGGTAATAATAACAACATAATAAAACAGATGTGTTTTGTGTGTTGTGTTTTATTAATAAAACAGATTTACAAAGTTTTAAATAAACTTACCTAAATACTTTAAAAAGTTGATCAATTTCAGAGTCACCAGGAAAAAGTGCTTTTCTTGTCATCTATAAAATTGTAATAAATTATAAATCTCCTAAATCCCAACCTCCTAAACTATACATTATAAATCTCTGAAATCTCAACATTCTAAACTACACAGCAAAATTACCAATATTAATAATTGGTAATTTTGCTGTGTAGTTTAGAATGTTGAATGTTGAAAAAAAGAATCTATTTTTTAATGTTTGCTTTACTAATACCCTAATCTTTTTTTAATTAATTTACATTTAGATGTTCATCTAAAATAAAATTTCATTTTATAACTTAATGCTTTGATAATAATGTTTATTCATCAGATTTTACATTCACAAAGCGTAAAATTAGTATGTCTTATTTATATTGATCTAGATGATCTTTGTGATAGAAGATTATCTTATCACAAAGATTTTTGCGTTGAGATAATTTTATCACAAAAATCATCTAAATCATTTTTTAACCTTGAAAATGTTTTGGTAAAAATATTCAGGAAACATCAATAAAATATTTACATTTTTTCTTCTTCTATATGTTCACCTCCTTTAAATAATAGGATCTGTTTCAATGTTTCAATCTGTTTCAATATATTTTATGTAAAATTTTAAGACACTTTAAACATATACCATAAAACGGGGTGAATAGCAACAGTGAGGTGAATAGAAACGAAACTTCATTTTTATATATATAATCTAATTTCTACATAACTATGGCAAATATTTTTTTTTTTTAGGTTGCTACACTTTAACCTGAAAGTGAAATAATGGTTTGCTTGGTTGGCAGCAGTGGTTCTTGTTTGTTTTTTGTGTTGAATTTTACCGTGTGATTCTTGTGTTTTTTTTAATCTACTTTGAACTTTCCAGGTAAGTCAGATTACTTAGTGTTCTTGAAAGCAAATAGTTGCACAAAACATAGTTTAATTATTCATATAAAAGATTTAGGCTAACTTTAGGCTTCAACTTTAACAATATTATTTCAATAATTAATCTTATTTTTTAGGTTAGGTTTTCTGAATTTACGGGGTGAATAGAAACACATAGTTTCTAGTGTTTCTATACACACGACACAAAAAATTTAATACTAAATTACATTTATACAATATAAAATACTTTGTGCTATATATTTATGTTAGACACTTAACTGACACAGCTGTTTTGTTTCAGAACCCTGTAAAATGCCAAGACACTACAAACGGGTGGTTACAGGAGGCTACAAAAAGCACAATCCAAAAAAAATCGAAAAGGCAATTTCTGACATACAGGAAGGTCTCAGTCTTCGGAAGTCTGCTTTAAAACATGGTTTGCATTATAGTATTATATATCAACACTTGAAAAAAGGTCCTAATATAGAGAAAAATGGTTGTCAGACAGCTCTATCTCTCGAATAAGAACAACTGTTTGTTGAAAGGCTGAAGATATGTGGCGAATGGGGCTATCCTATTGACACTACAACTCTATGACTTCTTATAAAAGACTTCTTAGAACAAATAGGGAAAAAAAGTTAAGAGGTTTAAACATAACCTCCCAGGCCGTGACTTTGTTGAAACATTTTTAAAACGTCATAAAAATCAACTGGCCATGTTAAACAATCAAATGTTAAACAATCGAGAGCTGGTGTGACATCAGATACAATTAACAGCTATTTTGATGAACTTATAAATTAATTACAGGATGCGTCTTTATCTAATATTGTTAACTACGATGAGACGAATCTAAGTGATGACCCTGGTAAACGAAAGGTCATTACACGTAGAGGGACAAAATATCCAGAAAGTATCATAAACTCATCAAAGGCATCTACATCTGTGATGTTTGCAGCCGCTGCAGATGGTACTATTTTACTCCCTTACGTTGTGTACAAGGCAATTCATTTGTACCAAAGCTGGACAGAGGGTGGGCCAAAAAATGCCAGGTACAATCAAACAAAGTCTGGCTAGTTTGATTTCTTTTGCTTTGAAGATTGGATACTGACAGTTGCTTTTCCATACCTGAAAAAACAAACAGGTCGAAAATTTCTGATTGGGGACAATTTGTCTTCCCATTTATCATTAAAATCTGTGAAGTTGTGTAAAGACAATAATATCAGTTTTATTTTTCTCCAAGCTAACTCCACCCATCTGACACAACCTCTGGACGTGTTATTTTTTTGGCCATTAAAATCGACATGGCGACAGATTATCGAAGAGTGGAAAAAAGGTCCAGGAAGAGCGGAAGCAACTGTTCCTAAGAATAAATTTCCAACGTTGTTGAAAAAGTTGTGTGATTCATTGAAGGAAGAAAATGTGATCGCCGGTTTTAAGAAATGTGGTATAGCACCTTTAAACAGGAACAAAGTTCTCTCTATGCTTCCACAAATTATTGATGAAGAGGAAAACCAGAAACCTGAAAATAACAATGAAGCGGTTGACAATAGTTTCAACGAGCTCCTTCAGAGTCTGAGACAAGATCAGATTCCTAAGATAAGAAAAAAAAGAACCAAAGTTAATGTGAAACCTGGCAAAAGTATCGGTGTTGAGGACTTTGTTGACGACGATGAGAGCTTAAATCCCCAAAACACATGTTCCACCAAACAAGTTCAGCCAAATAAAAGCCGAACGTTTGTGGAGTAATCATCAGAAGATGAAGATGATTTTTCAGTGCAGCATAGTGACTCTTTAGATTCCCCTGATCTGGATGTAAGTATTGACAGGGCCTCAGGCGAAAGCCTTGTCATCAATGAAGATGACTACATGTTGTCAAAGTTTATGGTAAAACAAAAGCATCTTTTAGATGCTATATACGCAAGGTTGCTTATTTGAAGATGATGATTTCTTTGTAAAATTTTTGAAAAGAGTTCAACAAACTAATTCAGTTTACAACTGAATAAAATATTGTAATAAAGTTTATCACAACTGAAGAACAATCTCTTGTCTCCAGAAACAACGTCATCCTAAAACTATCTTCCCCAGTATTGTGCTCGAGTGCGGGATTTAAAAGCATGATATTTTTCAAAGATGAATTGTCTGATTACAATTTATTAATACAATTTATTAATACAATTATTAATACAATTGCACTTTATTTTTAATTGCAATTTATAATAACAAAACAGACTAAATAAATATCACAAACTATTGAATAAATAAAAAAATCATAATTTAAACTTGTAGGGCAAATGTATACCTATTCAATATTACTTACATTTATGTTATGTTGAGAAATAAATTTGTATTTATCCATTTACAAATTAAAAATACTTAACCGTTTCTATTCTTTACCTATTTGTTTTAATAGAAAAACATATGAAATTAAAATACTTTTTTTATTTACCCCCATTTGCGGGGTGAATAAAAACACCATGTTTTATTTATTTTTCTACAAAATCAAATAAAATTAAAAAATTTAAATACTATAAACAAATAGGTCTAACAGAGACCTGTGTTTGGGCATAAAAATGTTTATCTAGAGCAACTGCAAGTATGCAAAATTTTATACCAAAGTTGAAAATTGTTTCTATTCACCCCGTTTTACGGTATTCAATGTAAAATTTTTAAAGACACTTTAAACATATATTCAATATAAAATTTTAAAAGACACTTTAGTCAAACATAAATTTAACTTACTATACAAAATACCTTAATTTTTAGTTTTTTATTCCACATAAAGATAAAAAAAACTTCTATTTTGCTTGTTAATAAATAGTCAAAGCCAATAGTAAAATAATAGACAATTAAAGCCAAGAATCACTTCAGAGTTTCAAAAATTAAACCAACAATGGAGAAAGGAAAGATTTAAAAAACTAACATTATTATACATTAGATATTTCTTTAGTACTCTCATAATGTTAATGGACATCTGTTAAAAATTGTTATTATATAAATGTAAATGCACATGCTTTTGACAAAATTTAAAATCTCAGTCTTGCGTTCACAGATCGATGTCAGCTGATAAATACACAGGTAGTTTGGAGTAAAAAATTTAAACATTCAACAAACATAAACCTTGACAAACAATGCCGCTGTCCCAAAACAAACTGAGTGCAGTACTACCAGGGACGTGGTGAGGATCAAATTCGGAACTTCTCGCTTATAGGCGAATACTCTACAGCTACACCACTACCACATTATCAAGTCCAGAACCAAAATAATTTTCAGATGACAAGGAAGAATAATGTTGGTAGTTTAGTTGTGATGTTGCTATTATTTGAAACAAAAGTTGATCTGATTAAATAAAATTGTTAAAATATTTTGCCTATAACAAAAAAAAAATAATAAAATACTCCAGAAAAATATATAAGAGAAATTAATAAGGAGCTTAATTTTTGACACTTGAACCCCTTTGATACAAGCAATGTTAGAACACTTTTATGAAGCTAAAAATGCAATAGAAAAAGTCTAATTGATATAAAGTCTACAACCGCATTTGTGAATCTTTATACAGCTGATATGACATTACAATTTATGTTTAAAAAATTGCTACAGAAAAACACGCTTTTAAGCAACAAACATAAAAATAAATTAATATTGCAAATAAATGAAAAATAAAGCATGATGTCAGATGCTCTAATTTTTTCTTAACAACAGTTAAGTTTTCAATTACGGAAACAACTAGTACCAGTAAAACTGCCATAATCAAACCAATTATTGTCTTAATTGGATATTTCCTCAAGAACAAAAATAAAAATGTCCCCAGTGATAACGATAAAAATGAAGTATGTAGTTGTAGAAGAAATAATAGAAGTTGATTCTATTAATGACCTCAGCTTTATGACCACTTCCAAAAATAAATGCTGGGTTTAATATATCCTTGGAAGAAAAGCTGCAATTAGAAATTTAAAAAAAAAAATAATTTTTTTTTAGATAAAAGGTAAGAAAAATAGGTAAGATATCGAAATCTTTGTATAAAAAACTAAAATACCCCTTTATTACCAACATTCTTCTTCTCAATCAAAACCAAATTAAGAAATTTTTATTTGAGTATATACCTAATGAATATTAATTTTATCTTTTATCATTATTGCTTTTTTTATATTACTGTATTATTACTTTTAGAAC